CATCAAGCTCCGAGTCGCACCTTGCTGGGACAGGCGCTTTTGGGGGTGCCAGCTGGGGAGAGGCTGGACCCCATCTTCATCCCATCCTTTGGCTGTGCCACGGGCCAAATTCAGTTTTAATTCTGTTGGCCCCAATGAACACTAAAACCAGATTTGTGGCCTGTTGTTTGCATTGCTGGGATGTTCAGGCAGGGGCTGGCTGCAGTTGCCTTGCAGGCACTGAAGTGCAGGCAGGCATGGGTACAGGCAGGGGTGGGGTTTGGCCTCTCTTGGCCAGGAGACCCCTGCCTGGCTGCTGTCTGGGGTGCGTGGTGTTGTCAAGTGCGACCGTTATTATTGAACAAGGATAAGCGAATGTAGTAGTTGTCATTGATTTTTAAAATGTCATCTATTTATCCTGAAGGCAGCTGTATGCAGACAGAATTGCATGCTCGCTCTGAATTTGGGTGGCTGAGAGCTGCCCATCAGGGCTTTTGCATTCCCAGTGGTTTTTCAGCTCACCGCCTCCCACGCTGGCACCCACGAGCACCCAGTGCCAGCAAACCTCACCCAAACACACCCCGCGTCCCCTCTCTGCCGGCTCTGCAGCCCCCTCCCGGCATCATCTCCGGCCTTCAGCTGCTGTGAAAGCCATTACGATTTCTTGTCGTTAATAAAGTGGGCTGGCGAGAAGGAGCAATCCAGGTTATTGCTCCAGCGCTGTGCAGCTGCGGCAGCGGTGTGCTGGATGCCTTGGCGTTCAGGGCAGGAGCTGCAGCATCAGCTGGTCAAGGAAACTCAGAAGGGAATTGGGAGCGGGAGCGGTAACTGCTGGAGAGGTGTTGGGATGTTGCCGGGCTCTTCTCTGCCTGTTGGTGCTCGCTCCCCTCTCCTGAGCCCCAGGGTGGGCAAAACCTCTGGTGGGGGGATGCACGGCAGCGGGGAGCCCCGGTGCCTGTGAAGGCTGCTGTGTGAGCAAGCCTGTGCCCCAAAGCTGGACAGGAGCTGCCCCGTGGGGCTTTGCACGTGCAATTCCCCAGGCATCCCGGGCTGGGAGCCACAGCTCCCCGGACCCTTGATGGAGCAGGGGTTGTGTGGCTCGGAGAGAAGCAGGAACCCCCAACCCCATGGCAAACTGGGGGTTTCACAGGGGTCACCATGCTGAGCCAGGCTTGGTCCCCCCCGACCCAGGCTGCTCCCGGGGCACAGGGGCCTCTTCCCCAGCCACCGGCCCCACAGCAGGTCTGTGCTCATGTTCACTCTGGGCAAGATGCACGGTCCAGGCTTGGAAGCAGGAGGAAAAATGGCTTGTGGTGCGTAAGGGACTTTCTCATGCTAAAATGAGATGACAGGGGGTTTCCCCGTTGTGCCCCCGTGCAGAGGGGTCTCTGGGAGCGTTTCTGAGGTGCGTGTGGCCGCGTTGCTCCATTAATGCAATTTGATGTTTAGCGAATCCTCACCAGATGGTTTGTAAGCCCAAGCTGTCAGTCACCATAAAAACCCCAAGCAGCGCTCCCGACCCCGGCCACATGCAACGCGTCCACCGCGATTAACCTCTGCTGGCGCCGCCGCCTCCCCGTGCCCGGCCACGGTGGGGGCTGCGAGGGACGGGGAAGGGATGCTGGGCTCAGGCATCGCTGGGGCTCAGGCATCCTGGGTGGTCTGGGAATATCATCTTTCCCCTTTTTGATCTCACATGGGAAGGCTTGGCATGGGCAGCGGTTAATGGGAGCCAGCGCAGACCTGGCAGCTGGAAGGGATGCGGTGCCACCACACGAGCATCTTGGCAGCTCCCGAGCAGGATGGTGCGGAGAAATTCTCCAGCTTGAGAAATCCCCCGAGCCCGGCATGCCCGGCGTGCCCGTGGGGCTGGTGGAACCTCGGGGGATGGGCGCTGAGTAGGCGCCTCGCTCCCCTGCTCCTCTCCAAAGTGCCCGCTGCTTCCCCGGGCCGTCTGGCAGGAGCAGGCAGATTTTAATGGTGGTGGTAATTAAGCAGGAGACGGCTTAACAAGGCGTCTGTGGAGGCTCTGCCACGTGAAATCATTCCAGAGGGAATACTGCTCCTAAAATCAGCTCTGGTTTAGCTAGTGTGATGTGTGGCTCTGGTTTGCCAGGGTAATGTGCCTCCCTCCTCCTCCTCCTCTTCTTCCTCCTCCCTCTCCTGGCTGGGCTGGTGGAGCCCCAGGGTCGGGCCAAGGCACGGGTCGAGGGCAGCCCTGTCTGCCAGGGAACGGCTTTGGCTCGTCTGCATCCCTGTGTGAAGGCACATCTCCTGCCTCAAATCTGGGGGCATTTTTGGACGGTGAAGCTGGGGGGAGCAAGCACCAGCCCCAGCCTGGCAATGCCCGGCATCGCTTCCTCTCTCCCACATCCATCTCTGGTCCTTTGCTGGACGTCTCCAGCCATTCCCGGCTGGGGCTGGGCTCCCCGTGACACGCGAGCGAGCAATGCCATGAAGAAAGGGGGACCAGCCACCCCAGGCACGCAGCCAAAGACGTCCCTATATCTTCTGACACCAGCGCAGTTGTCCCAGGGGTGGTCAGCATGGGCCACCCTTCCTGAAGCTGCTGCCGCCTGCTCTTTCCCGTGCTCACATGGAGCGTTTCCCTTCTCATGTGCCAGGGGTGAGCCCCCAGCCCATCGTCGGCGAGCCGTCGGTGCTCTGCTGGGCAGACAGCTGCAGAGGGAGCGTCGGGGGGCTGGGAGGGCTCAGTGCCCAGCGCGAGGCTTTTGATCAACCAGCTGGAAAATCAAGGGCAGATATTTGTTTCAAGCATCACCCTGCAGCACAGCCCTGTAAAAACACTTCTGTTCTGCCTTTAGCTTGCTAAACGGTGGCGGTGGGTGCTGGGAGAGCCCAGCGAGGGGCTGGGGCTGCTCCAGCAGAGAGGAGGTGTTGCCCCCAGGTAGACCAGCAGTGCCAACGCAGGGCTCACAGGAGCTGGGTCCCGATGGCACCGCTCTGGAGAGCATGGCTGGGGGATTTGCTGGGATGGTCCCCGGGGGGGTCATTAGTGACCCAAAGTGATTGCTGCCGGGGCAGGGGAGCAGCCTGAGTGCACCCTGTGGGTCAGGGCGGCGTTGCAGGGGTACGACTCACTTCCCCATGCAAGCAGGATCACCAGCTGGCCCTGAGCACGGGCGCATCACCCCGGGGGTCCCTGCTCGCACCCCTTGCCCACACCCGACAGGGACCCCAGCACTAAAGCAGTTTGTGCGCATGTGCTGCGCCACAGCCAAGAGCTGTGGTGCTCTCTGGAAGACCAAGCTTTACGTTAGCTTTACATTAAGATGTTAAACATGAATTTGCAATGCCAGTGGCCCCAGTGACCAGCCTAGCTCCTGGAAGAGTGAGACATTTGGGGAATTTGATGACTTATTGCTGGGTGGATCTGTGTGTCTGTTCACACGCATGTTTCCAACGTGCTCCGAAATTCCTCTTGACCCCATGAGAGCTGCATGCTGGGGCAGGTTCCCCTCTCGCTGCTCAGCACCCTCCTGCAAGCTGTGCCTAACCCGACCACGTACCTTTCAGCATCTCCCCCTGCTCGCTCCTCCTTCACTTATTGTCCTCGTATCTCCCTAATTATTCCAGTTGCCTTCCTAATAAGTTGCAGCACGCATATGTCAAGAGCAATGGGTTGAAAGTAATGCACATCAGTCACCGGTTCTGTGCAAATGACTGGAGTAATCCTGCACCGCTTAGATCTGTCATGACCAAAATGAGCTGACCTGCTGAAACCTGCTCAGCGCTGCGGAAATGCCACGTTATGCTGAGAGTAATTGGGAGCAATGAGTTATGGCTCTTTGGTGGTTAAAGTTATCATCAGGCACATTTCTCTCAATCTTTCTCCTCCACCTTCCTCCAGGCTGGCTTGGGGAAGCCGGTTTGCAGCGCTGGTGGGGCCTGCGTTGGGGGTGGTGGGGAGGGTGGGGGTCTTTGTGTGGGGCACACCATCGATGGGGTATACATGTGGAGTTGGTTCAGGGTCCCCCCACAACAGATGCAAAATGCAAGCCGGAGGTGAGAAGTATTATCCCATAGTGTGGTTTGGTATTGGAGTGGCACATGCAGAGATGCTCTGCTATTAGTGGGATAATTTGGTGTGTGATGGAGACACAGAGATGGAAGGAGAGACACGGGGTGGTAATCATGTATGGGAAGAGGCACCTTGCTTGCCCAGAGCCGTGGCTTCACTCTTGACCACAGCAGGGGAGCCCTCACCTCTGCTCCTGCCCAGTCCTGTGCTGCCAGATGTCCCAGTGCTTTCCCAGAACCCCTCGGCCGGGGTGCTGGGGCCAGAGCCATGGGTGGCACAGCTGGAGGGGTGTTTGGTGCTGTGAAAAACAACTCCTTGGCTTGGGATCCGGTGGCCCTGAAGGGACAGGAGCCTCTCCTTTTGTGTACCCACGCTGGGACTCTGCAGCAGCATCTCAAAGCCAGAGGCCAGCGGCCACTGCACGGGCTAAAGGATTTCTCCAGGACAGGGTTGCCCCGTGCCAGCGCCCTGCAGAAGAGTGCCCTGAGAGTGGAGCAGATATTTCAGGGTAATGAAAAGCGATAGTTTGCTGTTATATTCATCGAGGATGTGTACCTGAAACAGGGAGCGAGGTGAACCAGACTGGTTTGGGATTCCAAGCCAGCTCTGCCATTGCCCCTGGGCCGGTGAGACTCGGCCACTGGTCCCTGGGGCTGCCCTCCCCTCTCCTTGGGGCACCCGCACTGGGTGGCTGACCTGCATGTCCTCTGCCAGAACACGTTAATGGACACCTCGTTAGCTGATTACCGGATGGCTAATCCCACCGGCTCCCAAAACCCCTGTCCTCCCTGGGCAGCAGTGGCAGCAAGGGTGCTGGGCATCCTTGCACCAGCACTGCAACCCTGCGTCGGCGGCAATACATCTTCCCCACAGCAAATGCTCAGGTGGGAGCAGGAGTGGGGCACTAATGAGGGCACCTAACGAGGAGACTGAGTGGGGACAGGGCAGGTGCTGGCGGCGCAGGGCTGCCCGGGGACGGCTCGTGGACCAGCTTGCCCCTAACAAGAGCCCGCAGCCGACACAGAGCGACGCAACAGGCACGCAGGCGAGGAGACGGCTGTTTGTTTTTAGATTATTGGGAAAGGCTACATTTGTCAAATAAATGATTTCATCGTAACTATTTATTCAGCTCTATTCCCTGTCTACTGGCATCTTCATTTGCTCTCAGCACAGGCATCAGCCTTTACTTTGCCAAGTGTTAGCGCTGGGCAAATATCCTTCACATCGATGTCTGGGGCTGGGGAAAATGAGCTGCTGGCTGAGGAAAATTTGTTGTAAACTGTATTTCTCCATTCTGCCTACCCTTGTGTTCCTGGCAGGGCAGAGTGAAGGGGATGGGTTATTTTACCATGTAACTCATCTCTTTTTGGAGCCACTTTGCTCAGTTTTGAAGCTGGTGGGAAGGAAGAGGACAGAGAGGAGAAGCCTCAGTGCAGAGCCCCAGCATCCTTTCTATCCATAGTGGGTGTTTCTGGGCTTTGCCTACCTTTCCTTGCAGTGTTTGCAGGGGCATGTACCCAGAGCACGTGTTTCTAAAGCAAATGAACAGGGCGCGTTGCTGCGCATCCCTGTTTAGGGAAAAATCAAAAGAGGGGGGGTGGGAATTGGTGGGCGCAGCCCCAGCTGGTTCTTACCCCCCTCTCCTCTACCCTCCCCCCCAGCAAGATACGTCGGCTGCTACGTGGACAACACTCGCCGGCGAACGCTGCGCGGCGTGTCCTTCTTTGACTACAAGAAGATGACAGTCTTCCGTTGCCAGGACAACTGTGCCGAACGGTAGGGCGGGAGATGGGCACCACGTCTTCATCAATTCCCACACACCGCCAGCGTTTCTCTGCTGTCACAGTTCCCTGCCCTGGCTGCTCCCCTCCTCTTCGTCCCGCCTTCCTTCTTTTTTCTTTAGATTTATTTCATTTTGATTTTTTTTTTTAATTCACTGGTGTTTTCCAGGACCCCAGTTTCCTCCCCCAGAAAAAGGTCGGGGGGATGATGGGCTCCATCCTCGTACGGGGCAGGGGGCTCCAATTCAGTGCTGGGGGAGCCTTGAGCACTTCCATCCACCCAGGGGTGGCCCTACCAAAATGCCATCCCCCACCAAAACACCCTCCCCCAGACCTTCCCAGCTGTCAAAGCATGTCCATGAGCAGCTGGGGAGGCACATGGATCCCTTGCTGCAGAAGTTTTCTCCTTTCCCTAACGTTACATGAAGGATGTGCCCTAAATGTGGTCTGTGCCGGTGGGGCGGGCGGCATTGCGGGCAGTTTGTTGCCTCCAAACTCCCCCGGAGCCGAAGCCCATCTGTGCAGCATCCCATGGCACCTGGGGATGTTGCTGCAAAGGGCCATCACTGATCGCTGGGGCAGTGGCACATCCCCTGCATAGGGCTCATCCACCTCAGCAGGATGCTCGCCGTGACGGACGCGTGCCGTGAGCCGAGCCAACTGCTGCGGGGCATCCTCGGCAGTGCCGATGCAGGGCTGTTCCACGCCAGAGCCCCTCCGCAGCGCTGGCAGCCCCGCGGCGGGACTTGCCAGTCTGGCACTGCCCCTCTCCAGCGGGTTTCCAGCTCCGCTGACACTTGGCAAGTGCCCGCCTGTGCTGCAATCCTCCCCCTTTCAAATCCAGTCTGTACTGAGCAGCACAGCTCTCCCACTTTGAAGCCCAGCAAAGTCCCCATCACTTATTCCTGCTCCACCATTGCCTGTTACATCCTCCCTGCCTGTAAGAAATGTCTCTGTCTCCTGCTTTATGATCTCTGTGGCCCATGGAGCCCTTTCCCTTATGCACTTCGTAAGCCAGGCCAGAGTAACTGGAGTAAGTGGTTTAAGAGAAAGCCTAGCGACGAGAGTCAACAAAAATACAGGAAGCTTTGTGAGATCAGGAGCTCCCAGCATTTTTAATGGTCTACTGATAAAGTGATAGCGTCTACTAATTCTATTAATTCTTAATTTGCAAACCTTTTTTTTAAATAGCAAAACCAACAAAGACACAGTGTGAGCTGAGTGAGGTTTGGTTCATTCTTTAATTAATTAGGGCCTTTCTAGTTTGAAAGTCAAGGTTATTGGGCAATACTACTGCGTAGCTCTTCAGCTTGCTTTATTCTGTTTTGTTCCAGATATGATAAGCACTTAGAGACAGCCTGTAAGATTATTCTTTCAAGAAAAAACGGCGTGAAAATTTTTTTCTTACCAGTTGAAGGGAATTTGAGAACTATGCACATAACATACAGGCAGTGATAATTCGTTGTTTTACAGGTACAGTCATGATGACTAACAAGATGAATGGAATGGAATGGAATAGAATAGAATAGAATAGAATAGAATAGAATAGAATAGAATAGAATAGAATAGAATAGAATAGAATAGGGGACCCCCCTGTGGGGATGGCTGCTGGCCGGGGCGGGCTGGAGCAGGGAGCCCCAAGGACCTCACCAGGAATTCAGGGCATTTGGGGGGACTTCAGATGAAGACCTCTTTCCTGATGGCCAAACAGGACCATCGTTGCATTCGGTGCGCGCTGCCGCTGGAGCTGGCTGCGGGATGAAGGATGTGCGGGAGCGTCAGAGAGAGCCAAGGGTGCTCCCTGTCGGAAGCGCTTGTTTGGCTCCCAATTAGGCAGCACTATAATTACCCACATTTGCTGCTTTTCTTTCCTCGTCCCCAAGCAAGGGGAAGAGGGTGGCAGCATTCAGAGCTCCCACCACCACGTACCCGGTGGAGTAGCAGTCCCGGAGAGGGGCCGAGGGTGTCCGGGTACGTGCAGTGGTGGGTGAGGACCCGGGATGGGACCCCTTGGGGCACAGATGCCGGTGCGGGGACCAGGCCAGACCCAACCCTGCTCTCCTCACTGGCTCCATCCCTCCTGCAGCCTGGGATCACCCAGCTGATAAAAATAGGGAGGAAAAAATAAACCCAATTTTGCTGCCAGGGCTTTTGCTCTGATTTTGCACCGTAAGCAGCCGGGCGAGCTTGTTAGCAAATGCGGCTTCGCAGCCGGAGGGTGACGAGAGCTGGAGAAAAGCAGCCGCTGTGCCGATGGGCGGCTGGAGAGGAGCAGTGGGGGATGAGGATGGGGACACCGGGGCACGCAGAGGCTCTTGCTCCCGAGCCTGGGGCACGCGGGGTGGCAGCGTCGTCGTTTTTGGGGTGCAGACCCTGCTCCTCATGGTCAGGCCAGCATCGCTTTCAGCGCCGCTGTGACCTCTCTCCCTCGCAGATGGCAGCGCAATATTTCGGGGGTGCTTCCGCCGGCCGGACAACGTCTCCATCGCCCTGCCTGTCAGCCAGCTCATGCTGAACATGTCGGTGGACAAGTGCGTGGACTTCTGCACCGAGAAGGTACGGGAGGGCAGGGGGGGAGGTGCAGGTCGAAAGCTTAATCATCTAAATCTTCATCATCAGAAAGGGTCACACCGGGTAAATTTTAATCCCATTTATTATAACAATTATGTATATCCAAACTACAAATGATCGTATTGACTGTCTGTGTCTCTGCTGCGAGGAGGGACTGGCCCGCAGCTCCCCGCAGGGGCAGCACCCGCTGCCTGCCCTGCCTGCTCTCCGTGGCTTTGCCCCCCCCGGCAGGCAGCAGCCGCCCCGGGGGGGTTTGGGCAGGAGCATCGCGGGGTCCTGCTCCGGTCCAGGGATGCTGCAGTGCATGATTGCTCCTAGGGCATGACGCCTATAAGCAGGCAGGGGAAAGACTGGCAGTGGGCATTGCTGGAGTATTTATTAATTAAAATTAGGTAAATTATCAGGCAGAGGAAGAGAAAGGCCTGCAGGTGGGGACAGTCCTGTCCTCCCTTTGTGGCCTCCCCAGCAGAGGACAATGGGGAATAAACCATCACACCAGTTAAATACGAGCGGCTGCTCCGTCGCTGGCTCCGCTTTCCCGTTGCTGCCTGGAGAGCTGGGGCTGGGAGATGTAAATAACCAGAGCCCCTCCATTAACCCGGCGCTGCCACAGCCTGGCGGTAAATCATCTGTCACCCACCAGATGGGTCTTGTAACTCCGGGCTTGGAAACGCCAGCGAGGCTGCCACAGGGCCATCCGTGGGCTCTTAGTAACCTTGGTGCGGGTGGGAAACTCACAAATGACGTGCCCCGGCTCTGCCGGGAGCACCAGCGCCCGATGCATTGCCGCCTGCACCAGCAGGCAGCTCGGCTGTGCCACGGGAAAGTTGGGGCTCAGGTGCTTTTGGGTGTCAGCAACGAGCTGCTTGTGCAGCCGGCTCGAGGGATGCTGCAGCTGGCTGGAAGGATGCTGCAAACCGCCCTGTGCTGCACAGTGGGGCCGGGGCGGCGAGGACGGGTGCGGGGGGCAGAGGAAGGGTCTGCCGTGGGGGACGGTAACGGTGCTGCTGGCTGCCCTCCCTCTGCCCGTCCCCACAGGAGTACCCGCTGTCGGCCCTGGCCGGGACCGCCTGCCGCTGTGGCTTTCCCACCACGTGCTTCACACTGCACGAGCGCGAGGACGAGCAGCTCTGCGCCCAGAAATGCGCCGGTGAGGAGTTTGAGAGCTGCGGCACTGCCGAATACCTCCTCGTCTACCAGACCCAAGTGCAAGGTGAGCCGGTGCCGGGCTCTCCCTGCCTGCTGCCAGGCAGGGGGACGGGCAGGGACCACTCCGGCGCGGGTGCCAGCACCTGTTTCCCAACCCCTTCCCGGGGAAGCTGGCAGAAAGTGAGCGTGAGCTTGCAGCGTGTATTTGGCTTTCATTAAAAATTACCATTTATTTTAATTTCCTGGGAAATCAATCCTCCCCTGAACAAACAGCTTTAATTACTGCCTGACTCAGCTGCAGGGGAGAGCAGTTTGCCATCTGCCTCCAGCAGGATCCCTCCTTGCCGGCGCTTGTCCCTCCCTGTCACCGGTGGTACCGGTGAGCCGGAGCTTTGCCAGCCAGGGGGTAACAGGCTCCAGGGAAAAAATATGGGGGGAAAAAAGCTGTGGCCAGGGAGAAAGTCCCCGGGAGGCTGTGCAGAGAGGGCTCCTGTCCCCCACCGCCCTGCAGGACCTAGCGGTGGGACCGATGGAGACGGGGAAGTACAGGGCGAGGGGAAACCTGTTACTGGGAGAGGAAACGGCTGAATGGAGTAAGTGAGGACCCAAATTCAGGTGGTTTTGCTTCAGAGTGGCTCGGTCTCGACACGATCCCTGCTTCAGCGTTTGAGGTCTTGCTGGAAACGCTTGTGCATTTGTCAATACAAAAGGCAGGGGCATTGCTTGGCAAATGCACCCATGTTACTCACTCTCCCCTAATCACGCAGGCAGCAAGCAGCCGGTAATGGCAGAGCACCTCCTGCCCTCTTCTTAGATCTTTTTGGGGTGTTTAGGACTCTTTGGAATGTTCAGGACTCTTTGGGGTGTCCCTATGTGCTTTAGACAGGGTGTCTTTCCCTGTAGCAGCCACCTCCTCGCACCCTGTCCCAGCATCTTCCCGGGAGGCAGCAGCATGCCGTAAGGAAGAGGGATATCTCTGTAGGAAAAGCACGTTACCATGCCGCAGCCCTGACGTGCCTTGGCCGGTTCTCGCTGCAGACAACCGCTGCATGGACAGGAGGTTTCTCCCCACCCGTGCCAAGCAGCTGGTGGCCCTGGCCAGCTTCCCCGGTGCCGGCAACACCTGGGCACGCCACCTGATTGAGCTGGCCACTGGCTTCTACACCGGCAGCTACTACTTCGATGGGTCTCTCTACAACAAAGGTGAGAGGGGGGTTCATTGCCGGGGGTGCATCGGTCCCACCTGAGCTGGGAGAAGGTCCTAGTGTCATCCCTTGGGTCTGCAGGAAGGGGAGGGCAGAACTGGGTACCACCGATGCTGCTCCATGGGATGGTTTGTGCTGGATGTGTCCTGGTTCAAAGGGTATCGGGGAGACCCGACATCACGTGTGCCCTGCCCATAACCTCCCCATGCTGCCCACTAACCTTGGCCAGGACCAATTTGGGGCAGAACTGGGGTTTCTTCATCATGCTGGTGGTTTTTAACCCGCCATGGGGGTTTGAACTTTCTAGAGGGGGAACCAGAGCAGCTCCAACCCTGGCAAACAAGGCAATTCCTGCTTTTTTTTCCCCCCCCAACAAAAGGCTGATGGGGTTTTGTGATCAGATTTCCCCAGGAGCTGGTGTTTGCGGGCTTGGCACTCTCGTCCCAGGATGCATAAAGTGGGAAGCAGAAGAAAGTCACAGCTGCGTGGTGAGAAGGACTCGTGCAGCCTTGCAGCTTCAGGATTTGGGAGCGGGTGGTGCTGGTGGCACCAGTATCCTGGAGTACAAACGTCCCCATGTGCTTCCCAAGTAGCCGCAGATAAAAATAGCGACGTATCAGGGCACCCGGGGAACACTGACACCCAAATTAATGAATATTTGCAGTGCAAAAAAGCGCCGATGAGCTCATGGGAAGGGGGGGGGGAATGGAGGAGGGAACTGATCTCATTTGCCTGTTCTCCTTGGGCTGAAGGATTTGGTGGAGATCCATCTTCCCATCCTGGATGACACAGATATTTGCCCAGTAGATATTTAACGGAGGAGGGATGCTGTTGCTCCCACCTCTTGTGCCATCCAGGGTAAAGCAGCAGCGCTGTGCCCACTGTATTGGTACCAAAGCCGATAGCATGTGGGCTTTGGGGACCCCAAATTAAGCAGCAAGAATAAGTTTCAAGCCAAAAAAAGCTCAAGGCAGGCATGAGCTTTTTCAGGCAGAAGCCAGCTCCTCCCAATAACCGACCATATTGCAAGGGGGAGTGAAAAGACCAGTTCCCCCATTTTATAGCCATTTACAATAGTTTTATTCATAGACCTTGAAGGTTTCTCCTGCTTTTCCTTCCCCTTTTGCGGCTCTGAGGGGAAATCCTCCTTCCCTCCTTGGCCGTGGCGGAGCTGGGATCTGTACCAGGGGTACTCACGTAGCTGGTGGGGTCTGTACCCCGGGGTACCTGCACAGCCAGCCGAGGTCTGTACCCAGCGTACCCCCTAAAGCCCTGCTTGCCCGACACCGTAGGCAGCGATGCACATTTCTTCAAGATTTGCCAAATTCAGCCCTTCAGAGATGGACATGCTCTGCGCTGAGTGAGGGAGCCCGGACTATATCAGCCCCCGGTGCTGGCATCCACCTGGGGTGCAGCTGGCATCGCGCGTCCCACGGAGGGGAGCATCACCGGGTGAAAGCCTTAGCAAGGTTTTGCTCATCCGACCGAGTGCAGGTTTCATGTTTATTCTAGGCTGAGCGCGTCGGAGGGCCCGGAGGTATCCAGGCAACTGGCAGATTAGCCATCACGTCCCTGCGTCGCACGGCATGGCTGCCGAAAGCAAATTACACATCTATAATTGATGTAATACAGCTACTTACAGCTTATCTCCCCCCTCAGCTCAGCTCCGCCGCCCACACACTGTTCCCGGGTAGTTTGGGTTGTGCTTTACAGGGGCCGGGGGTTCAAAGGGGCTGGGAGCGATGCTGGGCTCAGCCCCGATACTCCGTGCAGGGGACATGGGGGACGGCGGTTCCCTCTCTGGACCCCCCACGGCATCACTGCAGGCCTTGGGCTCATCTGCAGCCCCACAGGCATGGGGTTTTTTACCTTTTTTAATTTATTGGGAGGGTTTAAAGGCTGTGGCCAGGGAGATTATAGCTATAAAAATATGTTCTTGACCCCACCAATATAAGCATAAGGTACATCAATGCAGTATGCAGTTATTTAATGCCAGTGTGCTTTGCCCTGGAGGAAAGCTGGGCTGTGGAATATCAGGCTGTTGCAGACCACCTCGCTGAGAAGAGCCGAGCACGGCCTGGGAGGAGGCAGCCCTGCTCGGTCCCCGTGCCCGCTACCCACCCTCTCGTACATGAATTTTACATCATGGCTTGACTCACAACTCAGGCAAATAAATGATTTCCATCTGGGAGAGGGATGCAAATTCTACTTCAAGCCCCAACTGCTTTTATCCAACTGTATTTTGCAACCTGATATCGCCCCCGTCGTTCCCTTTCCCCGGCTTGCTTTTATTATTTTTAACTTCGTCACTGGCCGCTTCTCAGGCGCCCGCTTGCTCTGTCCTGGCAGGGTTCAAGGGTGAGAGGGACCACTGGCGAAGCGGGAGGACGATTTGCATCAAAACCCACGAGAGCGGCCAGAAGGAGATTGAATCCTTCGATTCAGCCATCCTGCTCATCCGAAACCCGTACAAGGCGCTGATGGCGGAGTTCAACCGCAAATACGGGGGGCACATCGGCTTCGCGGCTCACGCCCACTGGAAGGGCAAAGGTAGGCTGGTGGGCTTGGCTGCCCCTGCCCCGCTTCCACAGGACCCAGGTGGGCGAGCTCCAGCCCGGCTGCCGGAGCTGTGAGGCTGTTGTTAAAGCCCAGCGGAGCTCAAGCCCGGTCCCCATGTTGGAGGGGCATCTCCTGGGCTTGCAACCAGCACGACCCGCAGCATCCACCTGGCACGGCCAAGGGCTCCTGTGTGGGTGGGATGGGATGGGATGGGATGGGACGGGATGGGGAAGCAGAGATGCTCAGCTGTTCGGTGCTGCGTTGGGTCACATGGGCAGCAGCAGAGAGGTGGCAGTGCCTGGGGACACAAGTCTGACAGTGGCTTGGTGCCAGCGGGGAGGGAAGGGGTCGGGTGGGCAGGAGCCCAAGGCCCCAAACTCTGTCCCTTCTTTGGAGCAGCTCTTCGAGGCCAAGGGCAGCTGGTCTGAACACTTGGCTGGGCAGGTGGAGAGCAAGGAGAGGTTAAAAAATAACAGGACCCATCAGACATCTCCACCATCACCTGGTGGGCATATGTGTCGGTGTGGGGGCTGCAGCATCTCCATGCTGCCACCAAAGCCGGATCCCAGCAGGACCACCCTGCCCGGGGGGGTGTGTGTGTCAGAAGTGGATGGGCAGCCCCGCTCTCCAGCAGAGCCAGCCCTGGCATGGGCAGCGCCGTGGGGTGGAAACAAACCCCATAACTCCCTAAGGCAATAGTACCTGCAGCAGGTCCTGGCCGCCGC